TTTATTTATTTTTGTTTTTTTAAATACAGCTGCATTCAGTAACTGATTTTTTTTTCTTTCTTTTCAAAGATTCCTCTGAGCAGAGTTTCAGTACAACCAGCCAGGTAGAAATAAACGCGTGGATGGTTTTTTCAGCATCTCCCTGGAATAAAAAGCTTCTAACCTTTATAAATCTTCTTAAATTATTTTAAAAAAAAAATTAAACTGGGCTACTGATGTGGTTCTAAAAGTGAGGTCTGCAGTAAGGTCTGTACGAATTTGGACAATGACACTTTTTTTTCTGCACAACAGTGGATTTCAGTCAATATATTACTGAAGTTCAAACTTTCAGCTTTAATTCAACATTAATGCAATACTCTTATTAAATTGACTTTTTAGGAATTAGACATTTTGATACAGTTTCCCATTTTTAGAATCTAAAAAAGTAATTGGGCAAACTAACAACTTTAAATAGTTTTTTTTTTTAACACAACCTAACCATATGTCCAATTTCTAACCAGGTGTTCCAACAAGACAGCTTAGACAACTAATTTGTTCTAATTGATTCCCATTATCTTAGCACATTTCATCTGAAAATCAAGTGTTGTTCTAGCACTACAGCTTCTCAAGAAAAGGTTGCGTTAATTTCCCGTGCAAATGTCAGTCTCCTAGGAGATTAAATTTGTTATTATCATAACTTCCTAAGAACAGAGTTTGTACACACCAACAAGAGGCAGGTGTCCACGAGGCAAAAGGTCCCAGAGCGCCCAATTCCAGCACTGCAGTGCACCACCACTGGTCCCTGGTCTGAATTCAGACAGCCCGACTCTCGCACCTTGAACAGGAAGTTGAGGAAAGATGCAGGAGACTCCGGCACCCCAAAGTCGGGCCAGGTCGTGTAGTGAAAATGCAGAATCTCACGAGTCTCTTGAGTCTGCAGAGAAAGATTGGAGAGAAAACATGTAGGAGAAATGAAAAACTCAAAACAAAGTGCTGATTCCAAACTAAACCTGGATGTAGGGTAGAATACCATGTGGTGCAAATTCCTCTTTTATAAATTATCACAAGCATGACGTTCATTTTTTTTTTTTTTTAATCTGTGAATAAACAGACACTCCTTTTAATCATTAGCATGTTGGCACCACAAGTTAGTAGATGTGACAATTAAGCCAGCATCAAAGATGAAGTGCTGTTTCACCAAGTGTGAAATAGAGACTCGCTGGAGAGCCAAAAAGGAAGTGTATGTCATTTGTTGCTGTCAGTTCTTGAGTCTTACACAGAACAGTAACCAGTGGAGGAAAAATAAAAACAGAGGCTACACAGTAAAAGACCCTCGCAGAGAAAAACAACAACAACAGAGGACTAGAAGCAAAAGCAAAAGCAGCTCATTAGAAAGTAGACCATTTCTCACAGTTTCAAATATTTATAGCGCCTACAATTGCCTAAAAACAACAACAACAAAAAAAAAAAACTAGTACAGTAAATCTAGTGATCAAATCCACTACAGGGGGTATGTAAAGACAAGCCCTGTGAATTTGCCGTTTTTTTGTTAACTCTGGCCTGATTCTTCATTTCCACTTCACCGTCAGGCTTGACTTATTCTTCTTCTTTTTTTTCACTAATGATCTTGAGTATGAAAATTGTTCCTTTAAATTAAAATCTATGTTTACAAAGTTTTCACTTTTTTTAAAGTTTTCTCATTTTCACTTCAGTTCATCATCCCTTTTCTTTACACCGGTGTGCTTTTACCCAACCCTACAGTTTTACAACCAAACTCAGCAGGAAGACAACTTACACACAGATTTTCCAACTCCAGCTGACGGACGGTGTAATAAGATTTGATGTCTTCAGAGACGAGGGTGAGCTTGAAATTGGTGTCTTCGAAGATGGCATCTCTCTCCTCTCTCTCTGGCCAGTACTGGGCACACTTAATCTAAAATGACATGAAGGTACACATTACACGCTGGGTAACGGACAGCAGTGAGGTTCAAAGGTAAACAAGGTATGACGATACTAAAACATTGTGAGGACTCAAACAGCTGCTTACAGAGCCTTTCTCTATGACCCGGTTCAGCATCACTACACCACGGGTCCTCTGCTCCCACACCATTTCCCAGAAATGGCCACATGTACTTGGTAGGGGTCCCTAAAAAGGAAGTACAGCACATTTGTTATATAAAAGGCAGGAAATAATATTTTTAGTGTAACAGAACACAATAAAACAGTATCTATTTAAAGAGCTTTCCAAGGCATCTGATTATTATTATTTATTTATTTATTTTTAAGACATTTTGTCTTCAGCATAAACACTCTTGCCCTGAAATTTCCTACAGAGGGAGACTGCAGTATGTTTACCCTTTGCGTAACTTCTTTGGATCAAAAACTGATCTAATCTACATTATAAACTCCTAAAAATAGCCTGGAAATATAGACGCAATTTTGAGTGCTGTTTGTAAATACATAACATTGTATAAGCTCTGTGTATTACAAACAAATTGTGTGGTAATACACTTTGTTGTAATTGCATGGCTGGGAGAGGAAACATGATCACTCCTGTCTAATACACTTCTTTGAATGTTGCCAAATCAGCTTTGACCCAAAGCCACCAAAGCTACCCTCTCCATTATCAGCTCAAAGATGCCAGCTGCAGATCAGTTCAGTCCCAGTTCCTGCTCAGTTCCTTCTGCCTTGTCACCAGTTCATTGTCTGTCCGGCATTAGTACCAGCAGGGATCATCCCCAAGCTTTGCCCTGTGCTTTGACTTGGACACTTTGGGTCTTTACATTTGCCCATTTCCAATGTGTGCACTATGAAATGTGGAGCATTTACCAGCTTAATATATTGGTATTGTTAGTAAATAACTGACAAAATTTGCTTCACAAAGTGCTTTAAAAGTTTTGCTTTCTCAGTGCGAGAAGGAATAAAGACATTTTAAATGCTTTTGGCAACTGATTTAGCTTTATGTGGGTTTTTTTTTTTTTTTAAATCAATCTTCAATGAGCTTTGTTTCTCTCTCTATGGTTACGAGCTGTGGGTAGTAGATCAAAAAGGCAGAAAGTCAAAGCTCTAAAGGATGTCTGGGCTCAGCCTCAGAGACAGTATAAAGAGAGTGGTTATGCAGGAGGGGCTCAGGGTAGAGCCAGTGCTCCTCAGGCAACTGACCAGGAGTTCTCCTGGCACCTCATAGGGGAGTTGTTCCAGGCAGGTCCTCCAGGGTGAAGAAGCCCCAGCAAACCCAGGACACCTTTTAAAGATTGTATCCCTTGGTTGGCAATACCTCAGTGTTTGCCCAGAAGAGCGTCTGCTGACATTGCTGCCTCTTTGACTTGGAGCCGCATAAACAGCAGAACAACACAATGGTATATTCATGTCCACTTGGCTGAACCCAACAGCAGCAGGATAAAAAACAAAAACCTGAGGCACAGGACAAGTTGAATGAAGACCAAAGCAGCACTTGTGCCTGCAATTGCAACTTCATTTCAGCAAGTATAACGAGCCCTAATGTCAAAGTGTTTTCCCAGTGTCACTCTAACCAGAAGGTCGACTCATTGATGCTGAGGATGACTTAAAAGTGATAAAACATGATAAACCTCGACTGAGGTTAGAATGAGGGTGGAATGAAAAGAAACCCCTTCATCGTTTAAAAGCACAACAAACAAAAGGATTCTAAATTTATCATAAAAGCCGAATCAAAACCTCAAGAAAACGGTGTCAGCAGAAACTAAGAATTATGACCTTCATAAAGGGAGGACTTCATGCTGAGTTATTGCATTAGAGTGGCCTCGTCTTTAGCTCTGTGTGCCTAACAAACTAATAACTCATATTCATTTTAAAAATGCTGCAGACAAGGACCTAAAATAAGGCGTAACTATAAAATACAAGATATTATGGTCATTAGGCCAACCAGGAAACTATATTATCTTATACAATCAGAAAATACTGACTTAAAGGTTTGGATTTTTCTGTCATTGTCTCTCTGAATTAGAGGAAATAATGAATTTTCAGTGCTGAATCTTTTCTACACTTACCTGAGTAAGGATATAGTTCCTCCGTGCCTCTTCTACTGTTATTAGGCTGGCATTAATGTAGTCATTTGTACCTAACTGCAGACGTATTCTGCTGTGATCAACTGAGAAGAGAAAAAACAAAAAATATGAAAATATGCATATGAATTTTTTATTTATTTATTTTTTTTTTAAATGCCACAACCCACCAGGGACTAAAAATGCAGTTCTCAAACCAAAACAGCTGTAGGGAACACTTAACAAGCATCTTCATACAAACTAAAGATGTTTACTATTGTGAGATTAGCTATTTACGATTTCCAGTGAAATAACCTTTTAGGTAAAAGGTTAGCAGTATAAAAAACTTTCAGGTTCCTCATTTTCATATCTCGTAAAGGGGAATAAGAAAACCCTTGTTGGTATTTACGGTAACTATTTGCAACTTGGTCTGAGAAAAAAAAATTTGCATGGCTTATTGAGTGTGAAAAAGAGGAAACTCTGGTGTTCAGCTGTTAGTTCAGGATGTTTGTAGAAAGTTCATCGCAACCTGACTATCTGCTGAAGCTGACATGAGGCTTTCAGTTGTTGCAAAGTCTCCAGCAGTAAAAAGATTTTGAGAAGAGGTCAGCGTGACCTGTGAGAAGATAATCACGAGAGGAAGTGCACTAGACCCATTTTAAATGCCAAACTGTTATAGAAAATTAAAACAAACAAGCAAGAAAACAAAACAAACAAACAAAGACATTGATGATCAAAAAAATACATATTGGAAAAAAAATTGGTATCTTTGTGTTCTTTGAGTCACCAGCAAGAGGGAAACTTCCAGAGCTGAAAACAAAGAAGTGGTAAAAACTGCAGATCCTCTAGAGACCACCTGAGGTTGACTCTAAAAGCAAATAATTCCCACAAGACTCCCCTGTTAAAACACCCAAATTTACAGCATTAAAATATATATTTACAACTTGGTGTAGAAAAAAAAAAAAAAAAGAGGAAACTCATTCACTTAGATAAGTGAATTATTGAGTTAGCTTAGTCATTGCGTTGATTGACAAGTGTACTTACATGTAGCTGATGTACGCCTCCACTAACTGCAGTCACTGAGCTTTTTTAAATGGAGATCATTTGACTAATAACTAATGTGTGATACAAGCTAGTCACAAAGTTTGTGCTCCTTTTTGGTGAGTGTTTACTGCTACTGTATTAATTAACAGTTCATTGATGCTACTAAAAAAACAAAAAAAACAACAAAAAAAAAAACCTGTACCTGTAACCTCAGCCCTTCACCCTTTCATCCATATAAGGTCAACTCTGGCTCCCCAAAAATCATCATAGCATTATGATGGTGGCAAAACTCTAACTTTAAAGCTTCAAAATTCAGCTTTTATCCACATGCACCTTTAACATTGTGTATGGTCACCAAACTGCCAGTAAGAATTTATTTTAGATACACAGATTTATATCCTGAAGTAACAGCACAATATCCAGCACACAGCTTGTAACAGTACCAAAATTTTGGTCAAAGACACCAGTAAGTCCCAATGAGGGCAACACTGCTAATGAAATCAAGCTCACAAAAAACAGTGGCTCCTTTAAGATTTTTAAGATATATCCTCAATTCAGAAAAAAAAAAAAATTCTGTTAATATTTATGAATGAATTGTGCATCAGTATATACACTCACTTTTTATGTAAAATACAAACAAATAGGAGCCGTGTGATTATGGATAACCATATATTAATAAGATAAGCATTTCCTCTATTTCCTCTCTTTTTTGTTTCTGTGTTTGCTTTTTATTTCACCATTTATTTCAACGCTTAAAAAAATAAATGATACTAAAAGCATTGCTGGGAAAAAAAAAAAAAAACTTAATTTCCCCTTTCCCTGATCTTACCCTGTGTAGCTGTTTTTGAGACACTCAGTAATAAATTAGCTGGAAACACTACGCCAGTCAGAGTGATGCAAGGCTGTTTCTATTGCGCAACACTACCTTCACTTAACTTCAAACTGATATTACAGTTCTTGTACCTACTGAAACTCCAGCCAGCTTAGGTGTTTATATAATGCTGCATAATGCTGTGACTTCACCACAGATGTTTAAACATAAATAGGAGATTACAGACCCTTCAACACTGCGGGTAGAGTACCAAGCAAAGAGACCCACAGTGGCATTCGCTTAACCTTCAAGTATTCAAATGAGGTCGCATTATCACCCCAGCTGTATATTTATATGTGCCTTTGTGATATTTTGAATCAGAAAAAGGTTCCTACCATGACATGACATTTGCCAGTCCACAACTTTTCATAGTTTCTTACACGAATAACCCCTTTGGTGTGGCAAAGATAGTAGAAAGCTGTGTGAAAATGTGAGCATGTTGTTTTTTAAAACATAACAGTGTTTGATTTTATTGTAATTTTCCACTTCTACTTACTCACTTTAATGTTTTGCAATGAACCACAGTTCACAGAGGCAGAACAAGATTCAGAGATATCCTGAAGCACATGTGGTTTGATAACTGAGCAACCAGAGCTGGCAGGCAGGACACAAACAAATCTGCTACTTTCAGGGGCATTTGGACAACGTTTCTACTGCAGTTACCCAAATACTGTGTCCCTGTGACCAACCTCTGTCTGCATGGTGCTAGCTTTAAGAGGCAGGTGAAGTTTTAGGTAATGTATCCCTTTTACAGCAGGTTTGGTATAAATACCTGGCATAACTGTGATGCTTAAAATCACTGAAAACCCTAGTTAATTACATGAAAACATTTTCAAATATCTGCCCTAGATAAATGAAACCAGTATATGAGTATATAATGAGGTCCTAAATGTAATTTTAGTGGCTACAACACCTTGAGAGTTGTGGGAATATTTAAGTATTTCAGACTCTGCAGTCCAGCACACTGAGGCAAGCAAAGACAAACTTACACGGGCTAACGTCTCTGTATCGATTCCGAGTCTTGTTTTCAGGTGATTTGGCAACCTTACAAGGGAATTCACTCGACTGCTGCCGAATCTCCTGTAACAGAATAAAAGGAGGAAAACAAGCATTAAAGCAGAGTATTGGTGTTTTCGCAGGGGTTTTTTTTCTGTTTTGTTTAAAAAAAACAAAAGAAACATCCACTCCACATTAAAAAGCTCTGAGTGTGACTGCTGTATTCTTTAAGACAAACAAACAAATAATGATGACATTCGCTGATGACCCTTTTACAATTTCCTCTAGCTATTTCAATAATAATCAGGATTATATTTGCCTCAATACTAACACTGTCAAAAGCTTGTATTTAGACTACCCTTTCTTAGGGTGGCTAATAAAATTTTAATTTAAATGTCAATTCTCATTTCCAACTATTATGAAAACAAGAAACAACATTCATTTTCATTGTTTTTATTGTTTTATGATATATATGTTCCAAGCCCACCTCTTCTGCTTTCACCTCTTCCTAAAATGTTTAAACACGCTGTTTAGTTCAGCTGCAGGCAGTATAACTGCAAGAGAGCTAAAGAGTGGGAGAAAAAGTTTCAAGGCATAGGTAGGGGAACCAGTGGAAGGATTTTTAATGGTTGACTGTAGGGCTGGGCCATATTATACCGTTCACGGTAATACCGGTATAATGTTAGGCAACGATAGGAAAATGAAATATCGCGATAGAATATGAGTAAAACGCGCATGCGCAGTGCCTTTGTTTTCATACGCACATGGCCGATTGTTGAGTGAAACAGATGAACCAGAATTGGTTTGTAAAAATGGTGCAACTTCAGTGATGTGGAACTGGTTTGGTGTTTGTCCGTCAGATACACGACAAAGCACATTTTTTTGCAGAACATGCAAGCGGCCGTCGGACTAAGATGCTCTTAAATCTGGGAGTAATCTGGGTCCTAAACTCCGTATCTTCAGGTCAAACAACACTGCAGCATCACTGAGAGTTAAAAACTGTCTAAATTCTTTCATCTTTAATAAAACGATCAGCATTGCTGCTTTACCAGGTGTAACTATGAAGTTTAACTTCCAGGCATCCATGAAAACAAAATTTATTACATTTAACGGAGTTAGAAGTTAGCAGGAAGCTAGCGGAAGTTAGCTCGCTAGTTTCGCTAGTTACCTAAGCATGATATAGCATGTTCTGACTGAGAGATTTCTGAAAAAATTCAAACGTACAGCTCTGCTATCACTTCCAACATAAATGAAGACAGGAAACTAAACAGCAGTGACGTTTGTAGGGTTACTGAAGTTGGGCTAGCTGGTATATAATGATGTGCTACGTGATCGCTAGCGACACAGCTATGTTAGCATAACATAAACAGTGAAGCTGGAGGACGAACACTAACACTTTTCCACTTATAAAAGTTAACGTAAGGTTCCTATGGTTAGAGACAAATGCAATCGCATGGCAGGATGCTGTAAACGGACCAAACTTCAGTCAGGAGAACAACTGAGATAATCCATCCACAATACGAGGTTAGTCATTAATATACTGCAACAACATGGGAATAGAGCAGCTGCCAGAGAATTCAACATTAATGAATCAATGGTACAGAAGTGGAGGAAGCAAGAAGAATGAGTTTAATAAAGTTTGATTTATCTGACTGCTTTGTTTCGCTTAATGTGCCTTATAATCCCGTGCACCTTATGGTCCGAAAAATACGTACTGCACACTGCAGTTTAATGTTGCAAAGCACCTCTTTTTAACTTCAGTGGATATTATACATGGTTATGCTCAGGATATGTCAGCCCATTTCTACTGGAAATGCCTTTTGGTTAAACTTTCAGCAAGGAATTTGCATTTGCACTGTTACATTTTTATAAAGCTTTAATGTACATAAAAACCAGCTTCTTGTTTAAGTGAAAATAAATGGAAGGTTGTCTTTTTGCGCTAGTAATGTTGTGGAGTTGTATTTTGTCTCGCATCAATTATATCGTCGGTTATATCGTTATCGCAAATTTTCAAATATATATCGTGATAAATATTTTTGGCCATATCGCCCTGCTCTAGTTGACTGCAGCCGTTTCCAACTTTAGATCACTTAGGGCCTGTCACCCTATCTGCTTTTGGCAATGCTGAACAGTTTGCTGTCAGCTTCAGCTCTCTGTGGATCACCTTAGGCTGCGTTAACGGTTTCCCAAGAAGGCCAAACTCTATTACAGCCTTTCGCCCATCTGGACCCACAAACATCCCGTTATGGAAGCTATGGGCTTGTAGGGACCATCACCTGGTCTGGCTTTATAATCCAAAGCCCTGCCTACTGAATTTTTTTTTCTATTTTATTTGAATTATGTAACAGTTAAAGAAGATTCCATGTGAAAAAAACAACAACAACACGGTTTTAACTTCAGCCACTGCATAATGTTTGTAAATAATAGAGAGATGATTGAGATTTGACTCACTGACCAATCATAGTCCATAACCTCACGTTCCACTGTTTCAGTTTATTCAATTTTCTTCAGCAGGGATGAATAACAAGACACGAGGGAGAAAACCAAAGTCCACAACAGGTCTGATTGTTTGATCACGACTGGATTATGAATAACAATTAAGCTCCATTAAGAGCATTTCCTGGCTCAAAACGAGCCTTTGGGGTGATTACATGAAGTTCAAGTAGCAGGTCAAACTTTCTTATACGCAGAAAGAAAGAAAAAAAAAAACAGTACACTTCATATCATAAATGAGGAAGTGAATGCCTTCAACATGTTTGGCAGACAATGTACTGGCAATGTACAAAAAATATATAATGTGTTGGTAAATGTTTTGAACAGTACTTTTGCTAGTTCACAAAAAAATTCCAAAGGGGTACTTCTAATTTTAAGTTTTAGGATATGGTCTTAAAGAATTAAAATAGAAGCTGTATGTTACATATAACAGACTAATGAATCCTTTATGTCATAGTATATCGGGAGAGGGGGATTCCTGGCTCAAAGCAGGTTTCAGTTGGGGTTTTTTTTTTTGGTTTTTTTTTGGTTATTTGTTTTGTCAGTAATGTATTTTTTCTAAATTAACCCCACTGAAAACCCTTAACAATGCATTTAAATTTGAGTAAATCAAACCCCATTCAACAAAAATTACTAAATTTTATTTTATGAAAGACTAAATCTTCTTTAGAACGTGGCTTCTTTAGAAAGTTTTTACATAAAGGAAAGTTTCTACCATTATTGTGATGCATTTCCATTTGAATTGTTACCTATGGCATTTTACATCTTATGTGTATCATGGTATGGGAGTGATAAAACCGCGATACGATATTTTGGAGGTTTGTATCGTGATTTCACTCGGTTTCAGGTGTTATACCCCTATGTAATGTATTATAAACATTTATAATAACTATATTTAAGCCTCCGATTACCAGCGGAATGGAAATAGTGGACGAAACTGAGAATAAATCATTAAAAATAAGTTAGTACGTCCAAAAAAGTATGACGTCAGTCAGCGTTGAGCTGCTGCCTTTATACCCGAGCAGACGTATCAATCATCGGATAACTCCGAGCAGGAAGAACAGGCACTGAACTAAACACCAACACACTCATATAGCCGGAGAAACTATAGCTACCACCTCACTGTACGTAAGCTACACATTGGCCTAACCAGCTTCAGCTACGGTCTGATTATTTCCACCTTAATTTGCCAAGAGCTCTTACCTGATAAATGGCGTTCCAGCTGCCGTTTTCATCGATTTCCCGAAATTCAGCTTCCATCGCTGACAGTCCAGCTGCCACTCACTCTCTCGTTGTTTAGCCTCCCGATACGAACAACCAAAAGTCCCCGAAGATTAAACAAATTTCAGTCAAACTATTTCGCGCAGTAGCTGCCAACTGGTCTGCCGCTGTTTTGTAATTCTCAGTGCGGCTGCATAGATTACCGTCTCGGCCTGCTCTTAGCGGAAACACGCCGCTAACTCCTCCTCCTGCTGTAGCTGCCGTCCTTGGGTGACCAAAAAAAAGAGAGCAGAATATATTTTTTTAAGAAATAAAATTCCTCCTGCGTTTCTCTGTGTGTCACTTTGGGTTTATAAGCCCCCGTCAAATCCGGATTTCACACTTTGTTTGCTTGAGACGGCTATTTTACTATTCCTACAGCGGCAGTTGAGACCGACCAGCGGGCATGCGCGGAAGGCATCTTGTTTCTGTAGCGAAACGCGTCTGGGCGGTCTCCTCGGGGGACGCGCACGTACACTCACGTAATGGTCTGTTTACGTCCAATCTGTGGAGTCGCTACTCTGCTGCTGCTACTGTGACCTGCTGCAGTTTAGTCAACGGGATATTATAGCTGGATAAAAATCCCATCGGGATTTAATATGATGCCGTTCCGATATATGTGTCCTCACGGTGCATAGAGTGACCCGGCAGAGGTCGTCATGGAGTAGCTGTAGTTGAGGGGCTTTGTTAAAGGCAGTACGACTGGGAGCAAAGAACTGGGACAGGGAGACTTTGGTGCTACTAACGTTAGCTAGCTGAGCAACTTAGCTAGACGTTTTTACTGCTGCGACAGGTATTATTACAAGTTGTTTTGTGTGTGTGTGTCGCTCCATGTGTTGTCTTCTTCTGGCCGTCAGCTCACTTTATATTGCTGTGTTTTCGTAGTTGTTATTGTTAGCGCTGGCGTTAGCCGTCAGCTGTCGTTGGCTGCTGCTAGCTAATGTGTAGCTATAGTTATTGCCTCCCAGTGGTGGAAAAAGTATTCCGATCTTTTAACGGTAAGTTGTATTTGCAAGACTGTAGTGGAAAAATATTCCAAAAATGTAAAGTCTGGAAAGAAAAAAACACACATTGCTCTTATTTGACTAGCGTTATTAAATATGGTTTTTTATTCATAGAAATAACTGATCATTTAAGCCTTTCTACAAGAAGTAGAGTGATGAGAAAAGTATTTGCCCCCTTTCTGAGTTTTTTTTTTTTCACTTTTGAAATCTTCAAAGAACTTTTAAAATGAGGCAAATATAATCTGAGGTAATACAAAGGACAGTTTTAAATGATGATTTAATTTATTCATGGCGTAAAGATATCCAAACCTAGCCGGCCCTGTGTGGACAAAAGTAATTGCCCTCTACAACCTTGATAACTTGTTACACCACCCTTGGAAGGATGAACCGCAATGAAGTCTTTGTGATAACTGGGAATGAGTCTTTCACATGTGGAGAAAATCTGGCCCACTCTTCTTTGCAGAATGATTTTAATACAGCCACATAAGAAGGTTGTCAAGTATGAGCGACCAGTTTAAGGTCATGCCAAAGCATCTTAATCTGGTTTCAGTCCAAAATTTTAGTAGGCTGGTCCAAAATCTTATTTTTTTGAGCCGTTAAGAGGCAGACTTGTTTATGTGTTTCAGGTCCTGCTGCGTAACTCATGTTAATTATACTTGAGCTCCATGGGACAAACTGATGACTTCACATTGTTCTTCAGGATTTTCTGGTAGAGAGCAGAATTCATTGTTCTATGGTTCACTGGAGTCCCAAAGCCTTAGAAATGGACGTTAGTGACTGTTTTGATCATGTCATAATATGATGGTTTTTGAGGCCTTTTGGCCTACTTTACTTTGTCAGGCAGGTTACTCTTGTAATTTCTTGATTCAGTAGGTGTGGCAGTAATCAGACCAAAGTGTGGCAAGTGAAATTGAACTCAGATTTCCAAAAAATGTGGTTAATTGGAGTTAATTCATGATTTCAAAAGGGTAACAATTCGGTTTTTACACAGGGCCAGGTAGAATTGGACACCCCCCCCCCCCCCCCTTAATAAATCAAGTAATTGTTTGCAAGAAATAAATCCAGAAGTCAGGCAAATGCAGCACTATAAATACTATAGTGCTTCTATGATAGTCAGTATTTTCTCTCCATTGCTGTCCTATAAGCAGAATAAATTATGCTATTTCTTGTCCTTGCCAAGAAGAAACATTGTAAAAATAATACACAATACAAAGTATATATATATATTAAGTAAGTATTATATAATGTAAAAGTTAATATAAAATTTTTTTTCATGTACATTTTCATTAGCAGTTGGGTTTTTTTGTTTGTTTGTTTTTTGTAAAAAGGGTGTAAAATAGTGAATCTGTTATCATTTCCCACAAAGTGTCACAAACTTATCTTGTGACTAGCCAGCAGTTCAACCCAACTGACAAATTACTGACAGACACACACACTGACTAGCTGCATGACCTGCTTGTACAATATATAAAAATGTGTCCTTGTGGCGTGCTTTTATGCTTACTGTGGAATACCTTTCTTCCCAAAGGATGTTTTCAAAATAGACTGTCTTTTTTCCAGATTCATTTAGTAGTTTGAGATCCGTAAGGGATTCTCAAAGCAGCATGGCTCCCAAAGACATCATGACCAATTCCCATGCCAAATCCATCCTCAATGCAATGAACTCACTTCGCAAGAGCAACACACTCTGCGACATCACTCTGAGGGTGGAGAACACTGATTTTCCAGCTCACCGAATTGTCTTGGCTGCCTGCAGTGACTATTTTTGTGCCATGTTCACTAGCGAGGTAATAATGTTTGAAAAATAGATGTCCCAGTTACATTCCTGATGCACTCTTTTATGCTGTTTTTTCTTTGTTGGTCTTTCTGGGTGTCTTAAGGTGGTGTTACATTTGCCTAAAATGCAGGATGATTCTCAAAAGTTATCCTTCAAATAAATGTGTTGTTGTGGCTCTGTAGCTTGCAGAAAAGGGGAAATCTTTTGTCGACATTCAGGGGCTCACGGCATCCACTATGGAGATCTTGTTGGACTTTGTCTACACAGAGACTGTGCTTGTCACGGTGGAGAACGTACAAGAGCTGCTCCCTGCAGCGTGTTTGCTACAGCTCAAAGGTAAGTTCAGAGCTGTACCTTGATTTAAAAAGTTTCTAATAATTGTCTCTGGTTTTGACATTGTCTTCAGAAGCTTCTGTGTTTTGAGCTTTTATAACTTTGTTTAACATGTTAATATAACATAATATAATTATGTCTGTTTACCACAGTCTGCTGATAAGAATTAGTGTGTATGGGTAAATGTGGCATATTTACAGTGTTCATGTTGATTAAAGTGCAGTGTTATGATTAAAGAATATAAACATAATGATTAAAGAGTTTGCTTAAGCCGTCTTTTCTCATGACTGTAACCCCAGATCTTGAAACGTCTTATTCAGTGTCCTCAAAAATAAATTTACAAGGTTTGAATTGTTTCCTCTTGCAGGCAGTAATGTATTAGTTTTAGCATGATTTAGGTCAGTTTATGTGTCTACCCAGTAGAATAAACTGGGTTGTTGTAATGTTGGATTTTGGAGTTTTAGTAAGCAGGCTTGTTGAAATAAGTCACTTTCGCAAACGTTAGTAACTGGGAAATTCATCCAGTTACAGATTTAAATGGATCATCTTTAATTCCCCAGTCCATTCATGCAACAACGTAAGGGCTTAATTTGAACCCCAGTTACGGCAGTGTAATCTATCAGTCATCCAGTGTTGTATTCAGTATTCATACCTTGTTTGGCACCTGGAAAAATCCACGCATCCATCCATCTTCTGCCAGGATGAGTGGGCAGCAGTCTAAGCAGGAGAGCCCAGACCTCCCGCTCCCTGGCCGCCTCATCCAGCTCATCTTATATATAATAACTCCAATCTTATATAAAATAAGATTATATGGGGTAAAACAAATGTAAAACAAAAAAATGACAGCGAATGTTGCAAAAATATATTTTTGTAGAGAGTGTGCATGAGTCTGTTTGTAATATTAATCATATCATCCAGAATTATTATAGTCTGCTGGGAACCGCAGAAAATGTGATGTAATAATTCTTTTTAGGCTTAATCATCAATTTAAAGTTCTACTTTCTAATTTGGTTATAATTTGGCGATAGTGAAACGTTTATTAAACAGTGGTACTATTCCATTAAAATGCTTTCTCCGTTTCCAAATTAAGAGAGAATTACATGCTGGTTTTTGAAAGAGTTAAGGCTACAAATGGTGCATGTGTGTACAAACCTATCTCCCTCTTCCCTAGGGGTGAAAAGAGCGTGTTGTGATTTTTTGGAGAGCCAACTCGATCCTTCCAACTGTCTGGGCATTCGAGACTTTGCAGAGACGCACAACTGCCTTGACCTGATGCAGGCCGCTGAGCTCTTCTCCCAGAAGCATTTCTCCGAGGTGGTTCAGCATGAGGAGTTCATGCTGCTGAGCCAGACAGAAGTGGAAAAGCTAATAAAATGTGACGAAATTCAGGTAGGAAAACTGCATGCAGGGAAGCTTGCTTCTCTTTAAAATTCTTTTTAAATGTGCTGTGAATGCTACTTTGTGTTTTGTTGCTAGATGATGTAAAATTTGTAACTCCAAGCACCTGAAAGTTGCCTGGTAACTTTTTTGTCTGCATGAGAGTTAGTGATATAGTTTTGTATTTTCTAATTGGTTTGATTGACTTTTTGTTTTTAATTCAGTTCCCTTTCAGTTACTTTCCAGAGTGGCTTTATTAGTTTCATTTTAGTTTCTGTAGTTTGAAAATATTTAATTTTAGTTTCCTTGGTTAGTATGAGTTATATGGAGGATATTTATCAGGGGGAAGATTTAGGGAAATCCAAACAGGCATTGACCCTGTGCACGAGAAAATGCTAACTTCCTGGTTTGAGACCGGATGTAAAGTAAAAGTAAAATTTTATTTATATAGCGCATTTCTAGATAAGAGATCACAAAGTGCTTTACAAGGTATAGACACAGATTAAAAAGACGAAGTACAGTCAAAAATTAACAAAATGCAATTTTAAAAAGATGTGTTTTTAGCTGTTTTTTAAAAGTAATCAGTGAATCAGCAGATCTTAAGTTCTGAGGAAGAGAATTCCACAGTCTGGCGGCCACAGTAGCAAAAGCTCGATCACCCCTAGTTTTCAGTCTCGTATACTTAATAACAAGTAGGCCCTGACCACAAGACCTCAGAGACCTACTAGGGGCATAGGGCTGTAAGAGTTCAATGATGTATGATGGTGCTTGTTCTTGAAGAGCCTTAAATGTGAGAACCAGAATCTTAAAGTGGACTCTGAATTCGACAGGGAGCCAGTGTAACTGTATAAGCAGCGGTGTTATATGTGAGTATTTCGATGTTTTCGTCAGAAGCCTTGCTGCAGCATTTTGGACAGTCTGCAGACGCGCCAGGGAACTCTTGTTTAGACATGTAAACAGTGAATTGCAATAGTCCAGTCGTGATGAAATAAAAGCATGAATAACAATCTCCAGTTCAGTATGAGCTATTATGGGGCTCAATTTAGAAATATTTCTTAAATGATAAAAGCAAGACCGAACCAGAGATTTGACGTGAGTATCCAATGTAAGAGCAGGATCGAAGGTTATCCCTAGGTTCCTGATAGATGGTTTCACAAACGTTGAAAGGGGACCAAGAGCATTCATTATGCTGGGTACATGTCTGTCTGGAGCACATAACAGGACTTCAGTTTTATTTTCATTTAGTTGGAGGAAATTGTCGGCCATCCAACCTTTGATGGTTTCCAAACACACATTTAAAATCCGCAGTTTAGAAGCATCTTCAGGTTTAAAAGATATATATAGTTGGATGTCGTCTGCGTAGCAGTGGTAACAAATATCCTCAAAAGGGCTCAAAATATGCTGGAGAGGAAGTAAATAAATTAAAAACAATAATGGCCCCAGCACAGAGCCTTGTGGCACACCAAAGGACAGGGACGTAGAAGATGACCTGTACTTAGAAACTGCCACAGAAGAGTATCGTTCACAGAGATACGAGGAGAACCACTCTAAGGCAGACCCAGATACACCGACCCAGTATTTCAGCCTATCAAGCAAAATATAATGGTCAACGGTGTCAAAGGCCGACGTGAGATCCAACATTAAAAGAACAGAACACTTACCCGCATCGTTTTGCATCAGAATGTCATTAGAAACTCTAAGAAGGGCTGTTTCAGTAGAATGAGCTTTACGAAAGCCAGACTGAAATTTATCAAAGATGTTATATTTGTCTAAAACTGCTGTAAGCTGCTTAGCCACAATCTTCTCTAAAATCTTAGCAATTAACGGTATTTTTGAGATCGGTCTGTAGTTGCTAGTGAGAGATGGGTCCAGCATAGGCTTTTTTAACAGAGGGTATATAACAGCAGTTTTAAAATAGGCAGGAACTTTGCCAGATCCCAAAGAGGTGTTAATTATAGTGAGCATACAGGGACCAATAGAGTAAAAGACATTTTTGAATAACGATGCGGGTAAAATGTCGAGTGAACAAGAGGATACTTTTGTTGCACTAACTATTTTTCCCAGTTCGGCTAGTGAAACAGGTAAAAATCTTTCTAAAACAACAGGCCGAACTGGCGTAGGAACTGACAGTGCAGATGCTGATGGGGACAATTTTTTCCTTATATTGCTAATCTTTTCTAAAAAGAAAGCAAGAAATGTTTCACAGTCTTCAGCAGAAGAAATAATGGCAGCAGGTGGAGCAGGAGTAATGATATCAGTAATAGTATCAAATAAGACCTTAGGATTACCTCTGCTCTTTGCAACCAACTGAGAAAAGTAAGCAGCCCTTGCATCTCTAATAGCATTGTTAAAAGAGGCTAAAAGATCCTTTAAATAAAGGAGATGAACATTTAAGTGAGTTTTCCTCCATAACCGCTCAGCTTTACGACAATTACGTTTTATAAGCGATGTTGTCATTTAACCAGGGTACAGACTTGGAAACAGGCACAGGTCTCATTTTAATCGGACAGATTTCATCTAAGATCGAAAGACAATGATAATTGAATAGATCTATAGAAGAAATCAACACCGTTTTGTGGGGATAGTGTTAAATTAAAAGCATCTGAGAACTTCTGCGCTGTGGAGGAATTTATAATGCGCGACATAACTGTCCGGTGAACAGGAGACATAGGCTCATGAAAAGACATGTTAAAAAGAATACAATAATGGTCAGAGATAAAAATGTCCTTAGAACAAATACAATCAATATTCAAACCCAAGGTAAAGACAAGGTCCAGTGTGTGACCTTTGTTATGTGTGGGGCCGGACACATGCTGGATAAAATGAAAAGAATCCATAATGTTGATAAAACCCCTGGCAAAGAGGTCGGACTCATCATCAACATGTATATTAAAATCCCCCACTAAAAGCAATTTGGACAACCTTATAGTAGAGGACAGGAAGTCGCTAAACTCCGCTAAAAACATGCTGTTAGGGCCGGGTGGACGATACACCACAGCACAGTAAAAAGGATCCTTACTTCCGATTTTAATGAGCTGCAATTCAAAAGAAAGAAAGTGTCCAACTTTCACTGAACGGCAGTTGAAACGGCTCTGAAATGCCACCGCGAGACCTCCTCCACGACCAGGGGTGTGGAGGGGTTGTACATTTCCGGTAGCTTTACTTTGCGGTCAATCGCTACTGCGAAGATATACTCCAAAATCATGTCCAAAACTTGAAAACGGAAAGATTGCATGAAGTTACAAAGAGCAGAAGGTGGGAACACTCACCACTGTTGTGTCATAAAAAATCTAATGATCAATTTTGACGTTTAAAGCGTTTAGATCGATCAGTTGTTTACATCACTCAACACAAGCAGAACTGCATTACAAAATCAGAAGACACATCGTCCACATTCAGAAGCACATCTCTGTATAGTGACTGGTCTTATGATTTAAACAGGCAAATGTTCAGCATTCAAACTCCAGGTGAAGAATAGTCAAACCAGATGTTTCCCGTTATGTCGATATCAGCTTGTCAAGTACACACCTACACAGCATGTTAACAAACCGTGAAAAAAGCCACACAAAAAATGAATAATTGATGGTAAGGGTTTCTATACATTAGTATTTACGAAGGGTATGTTGTGACTTACCTTCAAAATTACAGTGGTCCCTCGCTAATAACGCGGTTCACATTTCACCTCGCTGTTTCACAGATTTTTTTTAGTGCAAGTTTGCACGTTTTTTTTTACGTCACATTGTGTCCTGCGTCCTGATCGCTGCAGATGATCTCCTCTGTGACGTCTCTCCTGTTCAGTACAGAATCCCTGCATCGATCGCTAGCAGTGTGACTCTGAAGTGCAGTACTGGATGTCCACAATATCCACCAAACGTTTTGCACCATCAAAAAATAAAATTGGCTACTTGATTTCACCTATCGCTGGTTATTTTTAGAACATAACACCCGCGATAAACGAGGGACAGCTGAGAAATATAACATTTGAATCCCTTTTCTCTTTTGCTCTGAGGCACGGGGAAAAAATATCGACAAGTCGATGAATATCATTTACAGATATATTGGGTAAATGCCCAAGACATCTATAGAAATGTAAATCGCCGCTTGATTCATTCATTTGCTTAACTTGTTTTGGACCGTAAACAGGGTGTGAATAGGACACCGGAAACAAAGCTCCCCACAGGAGTTTCCGCACCGGAAGTAGCATATGCTAACGTGCACATAGTCAATTGCAGTTCAAACATGACTTTTTGTGAAGACTGTTGCGTCACAGTCACATAGACATTGTATATATACAAATGCACTAAAGCCTCATCAGACAGTTTATATAGATTTTACTAAAATAAACTAAAATGAGGACATTTCCACTTTATTTTTATTTTGTTTTTAGTTCATTTTGCAAGTTCACAAAGTTTTATTTCAGTTAAGTGTGATAACTTTAGTCTGCAGTACTACTGAAATAGTTAAATTTCAGTCTAAGATCCCTGAAACAAATAGTTGATTTAATGTAAATTGAGCTTGACTTTCACAGCTTCTATAATATCTGTCAACAATCTAAGCGCCAAAAATGAAAAGCAAGTATAAACCTGCTACAGAATCAGTCTGTGACCTCCCCCCCAACAACCCAACCACCCAAGTTCCAGTCAGTGTTGTGGATTGACCTGACAATGAAATTGCAGAGAAGTGAATCTGATTTAAGTTTGGCTTTGTGCTCAGGAAATTCCTGTTTCCCAACCACATACCCCGCTTTGTGAAAACATAGTTATTATCACATGATGATTTATAGATCACAAGTTCTGTCAAATTGTCTTTCCTGTCATATTTGTTGTTTTTAAAATAAAACCAGACCATACATGTAAATCGTAGTCACGCATAATTTGCCTTCAGTTAAAGTTTTCTGTCATCTTTGAGGATTTGAAGTTTATTTTAGCAGACTGCGCTGTTTCACCTTTGTACATTTTGTCTTTGCAGTTGCAGAAGTCTCTTGAATTGTTGCCACTAGTCTTGCCACAAGTAATTATATTTATTGAAAAAAAGCTTGCATCAAAAATCAGTCTTGTGCAATAGTTCAATTGCAGCTGTTAGCAAATCCTTCAGTGTTGTGTAGATTTACTATCAGGTGTTATTACTGTATATGTTGTTGGTATGCAGGTGGACTCGGAGGAGCCTGTATTCGAGGCCGTGTTAAATTGGGTCAAACACAACCGCAAAGAGCGGGAGCCCTACCTGCCAGACATGCTGGAGTTTGTTCGGATGCCGCTGCTGACCCCCCGCTACATTACAGATGTCATTGATACTGAGGTGAGCCAGGCGACGCTTTGTGGGTTGTTGTGTAATCACATGCCAAGCCTCCTATGAAAGATTTTTCTGTCAAGTTTTATCACACCGTAATTAAGCAAGTTTTTACTCGTCTTAGCCTCTCATTCGGTGTAGCCTGCCATGTCGAGACCTTGTTGATGAAGCCAAGAAATTCCACTTAAGACCGGAGCTGAGGAGTGAGATGCAAGGCCCACGCACACAAGCCAGATTAGGTAGGAATCCAGTTTTCAACTGCACTTTAGCTAAATACTTGTCTTGTAGACAGAAGCTTTGTAAAATACATTACTTTCTTTTAAGGTGCCAAAGAAGTCCTGCTGGTTATCGGTGGGTTTGGCAGCCAGCAGTCACCAATAGACATAGTTGAAAAATATGATCCCAAAACTCAAGAGTGGACCTTTCTGCCTGTAAGTATTAATTTGATGTATGTATTTAGCTGTTGAACCAGGGGTGTCAAACATGCAGTGCAAAGTGTGAACGTGTTATTGAACTCATAAATTGCTTCCAATTTGTCAATGAAATGAAAGGTTTTTCATGATGCCCACATTACACAAGAAATGGACAGAAAATTAAATGTGAAGTTGTTTGAATCATGAACACATGAAATCCTCTTCAGAAACGAAAACTGTACAGCTTTGATCTGTAAAGTGAAATATTGTTGAAATAGATGTTTATTAAGGCATCTCATGCTTTTCAGCACCTGTTTTGTAAATCGATAACTTAATAAAGAATAAAAAATAACCTTTAAAATTAAAATGACTTCTACAGAATACAGTATTTTCTAATGGCTGGTAAATTTGTGAGGGTGTAGGGTGTTAAGGGTTGTCTTTTACTCAGGCTTCTGCTTTCAGCTTTCTTATATCTCAAAATGGCAAAAGTTGTTCTAAAAGCAAGTTTGAACACCTCTTTTTTGCAGTTATTGTGAAGAATTATCTAAATTTACTTTAATTATAGTGATAACAAGTATAGTGAAAAGCAGCTCGGCTTAAAGAGTTTCCTGTCTTTCCCCAAACATGGGATTTTGAAAAGCTTTTTCCCTGGAAGATAGATTTCTACTATCATCTTTGCTTTGAAAAGAATTCTAATAGATTTCAGTTCACGTGTCTTTTGCTCTGGCTTTGGTTCATGTCTGCAGAGTTGATTTCTTTTTAGTTATAATGCAATGCCCACTGTAGATTAAATTAGACTGTATGTGGCCCATGAACTCAAATGAGTTTGACACTTGTGTCTTAAACAGAATATTGCACGGAAAAGGCGTTACGTGGCCACTGTTTCTTTGCACGATCGAGTCTATGTGATCGGGGGCTATGACGGCCGGTCGCGGCTCAGCTCCGTGGAGTGCCTGGACTACACAGCGGATGAGGACGGTGTTTGGTACACCGTCGCAACCATGAATGTTCGGCGAGGCCTTGCTGGAGCTACAACACTTGGAGGTCAGAGACATTCTATGCTCAGGGAGCTTAGTCCCTTCTCTGAAATCATCTGTGATTTTCTTTGTCCATCTCCATTTTTCATGTTTAATGAGAGAGCTGTGTTGTTATTGGCTCTTGACAGATATGATCTATGTTGCTGGTGGCTTCGATGGCAGTCGGCGTCATACCAGCATGGAGCGATATGATCCAAACATTGACCAATGGAGCATGCTGGGTGATATGCAGACAGCTAGAGAAGGAGCTGGTTTGGTGGTGGCCAGCGGGCTTATATACTGTCTAGGTATGGAGACAAAAATACACAGTCATCAAAATTTGATTTTCACATAAGCCCAAATATTAACCTGAAAACCAGCATAGACTGTATATAAAAGGTAGACATAGACCTATAACCCTTGACTGTTTCATCTGTCAACATCTGGATGTTTTCATATCGTAATGATTCATGAAAATCATTACGAAAATCAGCGTGGTCATTGATTTCAGTGACTGCAGTAGGGTGCAAACACTGGGGGCTACAGGCAAAGCACAGATTTGTTTTTCATTGCTCCAATGCACAGTCATGTGTTTCTGACATCTAATGAGCCTTCAAACTCTCTTATCTGATACTTAAAACATGGTTTTCTTGATTGTATTTTAGCATTATGTGTTGTAGGGAACCTTTCACAAAGCAGTTCCTGGTTTATATTTGTTGTGTTTTGCCTTTTCCCTTTTTTTTTCCTTTAAAATCTTCTTAAACCATCAGTGCGTTTCATTTTCAAATTTGCAAAATGCAAGGGGCACCCTATGCTCAGATTACCCCTTAAGCAGAAGTTTTCCATGTTGTGATGACTGAGTACAAATCTAAGTAGTCACTATGACTGAAAATGCACACGTCAAACTATTATGGCTAGTGCTGTGTGACTGAGGATGGAGTTTTTGTTGTTGGTTTTGTACAGTTAATTCTTCTTTTTCATCCATTTACTTTCTTCTGATTTTTATTTTCATTGACTGGAAAATTTAGCAAGCCTGTATAGGTGGAACAGAAAAGTTGGAAATGCTGGGTGTTGATTTGCGCTGAAGCTACAGGTCACCAGTGTGTAGCTCTGCATATTTGATTTAGAAGGTTTTCACATCAGATGCCCTTCCTGACGCAACCCTACCAGAGGTTTGTCTCTCCTCTTGGTCTCAGCTAAAGTCATAACACCTACATTTCATCGATCTTTTTGACTCTAGCGAAGATGGTATTCTAAGAAACGATCACACGTTGTATTCTTTAAGACTTGAAACTAGCAATTGAGACCATAAACTCATCAAGAAAGGGTAGGCTGGGGTCAGAGATCACTTGAGCAGTAGACATTTGAAGCAAATCATGAAGCAACTACCATTTTATACATACAGTATGTGATTATAAGACTAATTCTCACCCTCCTTTCCTTTTATTTATAACAATGAAAGCATGAAGTAAAACCATTTTAACATAGTCAGTTGTTCTGAAACACTCTACCATCAGTTTCGTGGAAGCTGTCTCTATTTTCTCCAGCAATAACCATTTCACAGGCATGTCTTTTAGAGCTCCTTGTCGTTTATGACAGCAGTAATTCTTGGCTGTTCACCTAAAGAGTTTATCCAAAGTTGGTTTCCCTCAGAAGATGTCAGGAGGCAGTTTGTACTCAGTCATTGGACTCCTCTCAAAAACTCCTACAGGATAAAGATAAATTACTTTGATAGCTGACTAACTCTGACAGACACATTAAGGCTGCAAGCAACCCACAATGCAATGAGAACTCCATGTTTTCCAGTGCAGGCAAATATAAAAACTGAGTTATCATTTCGTCTTTGTTTCGTGTCAAGAAAACTATGTTAATGCGTCTTTTTTCTGGCTGGTTTTTCAGTTAATCATGTGGTTCATAACTTTTTAGAAATTAGGGAGAGTAGGCATAGCCATAACGTTAGCGTTTTGGTTAAGATTTCTTTAGAAAACGGCTTATATTCTCCTTCTGACCTCAAAGGTAATCTCTGCTTTAGCTCATAAAATAAACCAAAAAGATTTTTACGTCATATACAAGGTGCACGTAGCTTCTGGGTCTGAAAAGTGAAACCTGTCCCTGATTCCCTTTAGAAAGAAATTAGATTTTACCGTAGTGAATGGAAAAACAGACCTCAGCTTTCCTGATGTGTGCCCTCAGTCAGTCTTTATTTTTGCGTGTGCATGCAAAGCAGCATAATGTTTGTTAGGATGACATAGCAGAAGGCGCTTTTAAGTGGGCCTGTCAAGTCGCTACAAAATGAGCATTTTAAAAAGTTAAGATGGCGAGTGTCAAAACGCTCAGCTTGAGTCTTCACAAGCCAGTGGGAGACATCACAGTCTTTAGTTAGAACTCTGTTGAACAGCAGCATAAACAAGCTCATCATGATTAGTTTTCTGACCATCCATTTCTTGACAGGTGGCTATGATGGGCTAAACATCCTGAATTCGGTGGAGCGGTATGACCCACACACAGGCCACTGGACTAGTGTCACACCCATGGCCACCAAACGGTCAGGTAGGTAATAAAACATAATCTTTTTTCCAGCTTGGATACATTACCGATGGCTTGGTTTTGACTTTCTGCTGACATCGAGTACCAATCCACTGCAAGTTATTGTCTCCTAATTTCGGCTGCTCCCTTGTTTTGGGTTCCCACAGTAGATCATCTTCCTCCATCTCACCTATTCCTAGCATCCTCCTCTGTCACACCAACCCTCTGCATGTCCTCCTTCACTATACCCATTAACCCCCTCTGTGGGCTTTTTTTCCTCCTGCTTGGCAGCTCCATATTCAACATCCTTTGTCATGTGTATCTATTATCCTTTCTCTGCACATGCCCATGGATTGGTATTTATTTAAAAATAAAACATAAACAGGGACCATGTTATTTGCCTCATTTGTAAAATTATTTATTTAATATTTCTAAAAGCTTCCAATCAAATGTTAATCTAAACTTAAAGACAGTGAAAGTGATTGAGCAAGAGATGCTGGTTTTGAAAGGTTTTTTTGTGTTTCAGTCATGTTAACAGACTTGACCACAGTGTGCTGCTGACTACAAAAAAAAACGGCAAAAATTTGAAGTTGCTAGTTCAGGCATATAACAAGAAGCTGTTGGAGTGGGAAGCACGCATCTCCTCCAGACAGCTGACCTTTTGCTGTTTCCTTGATGCTTTGTTAGCTCTCCCATTCACACTGCTGCTGATGCATGGTGTAGTAAACACAGAACATCATACATAAAATGGGCCACTGTCACAGATACTCAGTACAACTTTTTGAGCTATGGTCACACTGATATCCGATCCAAATTCCTGCGAGCTGTGCTGCTGTCTGTTGACGCCTTCCTGCTGTTTCCAGGGGCCGGTGTGGCTTTGCTCAATGACCACATTTATGTAGTGGGAGGGTTTGATGGCGTTTCACACCTTGACTCCGTCGAAGTCTACAACATCAGAACAGACTACTGGACCACTGTAGCCAGTATGACGACTCCTCGGTGTTATGTAGGAGCCACCGTTCTCCGAGGGCGACTCTACGCCATCGCCGGGTAAGAAAGAGTTCCATTGCTGTGGCAATAGTCCTAAAGGGGTTTTACTTAATACAGCGCTCACATATGATATGAATATTGGCAGGCTTTTGGGTTATTGTGCCTTCTTTCCATGTAGGCTATGAAGTGAAACCAGTTTCAGTACATTATCGTTATTCTCATAGTAGAAATGCTTTCTGAAGAAATGGTCTGTCAAGTCTACTGACTGCTTTTTATCCCAGTGATAACACGAGGAATCCCTTCACGCTGTGTGGAGAAACACAAGTAGAGAATGTAGCACTAAAAAAGCAACTTTTGAGCACTCAGGCTTCGACTGAGCCTCAGAATGTATTTTTACAGAGATTATGGGTTTTGTTCCTGATTTTACTCAGCATAGAGCAGCTGGTGCACGGAATGAATGTCCCATAGCTCCTTGCATACAGTGCAGTGCGCACATTAATAGTAAAGAATAGATCACATATGTATTTTCAACAAGTCTGCACACAGACATGAGAATTTTAATGATTGCATAAAGGAAATGTTTTTTAACATGAATGCATAATGTAATCCCACCATATTCCATTTATCTTGGGTCAGACCCCAGTTTATTATAGTTACTGAAACAATACCACATCCTTAGAGAAATTATTACAATTAAAACATGCTTTACCGTAGTTTTAGTATATTTGTTCAAAAATGTAAGCACAACAAACATTAGGAGGACATTATGTTTACTCAAACTGGAGTGCCCACATGGTTGTGAGCCATGTGTTTGTATTGTAATACAGGTTCTGACCTTCTTGAGTCATGCTCATGACGAATAGTCCCAGAACAGAAAAACTAAACTGACACTTAAACTAAACATATTCAAACCGTAAAAGCTCAACTTAAAACAAGCACGCCGACTCTGGAAACGTAGTGAAAGTAAACTGAACTGAAAAGAAAACGGTAAAGCTGAGCAAAAATGTGAACTAATACAAACTGAGGTTGAGATCACCTTAGCGGGTTCAGCCTGGTCATTAATTTCAGAGACTGCAGTGGAGATGCAAACACTGGAAGCTACGGGCAAAGCACACAGATTTGTTTATTTTTTCATTTGTTCATTTTTTTCTGCAATGCACAGTCGTGTTTCATAGTATATTAACAGTAGTTTAACTAATTAACCTTCAAACTCGCTCATCTGATACTTGAAAACATTGTTTCCTTGATTGTATTTTCTCAAGATAAAAAACTTTTTACCAAAGCAGTCCCTGCTTTGTCTTTGTTGTGTTTTGCCTTTTCCTTTTTTTCTTCCCTTCTAGCATTTCAGTGTAATTAAAATCTTCTTCTTAAACATTCAGTGCATTTCATTTTCAGAATTCCCCAAAGTGACAAAGCAAAGGCATCTGTAAGTGGTTTAAATTCAGAGCAACTTGGAAACAACTGGGGGCTCTAACAGGACAATGAGCCCAAACCCTAACATCATACAACATATATTTGAGCCTCCATGTATACTTTTAGCCCTGTAAGGACCCTGACTAGAGAAATTAAAAAACACTTGTGCACCCAAATCTTGTTATTATAGTCATTAAAGGTGTATGCTATACAAAAATGCCACCCTGATAAATAACCAATAACCAAAATCATTAAAAGCCCCAAATTACCACAACATTCATGCGCACAATGAGTGCATGCAATCTTTTGACTTCAACTGTACATTAGTGATATTTGAGCAGCAGTTACTACTGTGTTTTCATATTTGTTCTTCATGGTACTAATGTCCGCAGACAGCTGTAGACACAACGTGTTTCAGGGTTGAAGGTGAATTGTCTGATTTAACTTAGAATCGGTACAGCATTCTGCAGCAAGCTTGTCAGACAGTAGTAATGTGATCTTGTTCAGTGGCTTCACTCAGCTCTGTTTCCTGCTGTGTTTCAAACTCTCAGTTCCTCTCCATTTCTCCAGATATGACGGGAACTCTCTCCTCAGCAGTATCGAATGTTACGACCCAGTTATCGACTCTTGGGAAGTTGTTACCTCGATGGCGACCCAGCGGTGTGACGCGGGCGTTTGTGTTCTACGAGAAAAGTGACGTTTGCCAAGAACCACAAGAGGAAAAGCAAGCGGGAGGGCAGGCTGCTAAACTGCGCTTAAATGCCTCTAAAACACAGCCGCAAAGGGAGATGTCTGTTCACCAGTATTCAAATAGATACCCTCAAAAGATTATGAAGCGCAGCAGTTTGGGCCGCCTCCTCCAAAGGACGGTTAACCCTCCGCGACTCGGACCGTGCTACAGAGATTCAGCTTCACCGTGGTAGACTTACCTCAAAAGAGGCCTCCAAGGAGCCCATCAGGACATGCATGACTCTCTTCTGTGGTACTTGTGTCTGTCGTTACCTGTGAGATTATTTTTTCATTTTGTCTTCAAAGTGCAATATATTTCTACTCATGATGAGAAAACAAAATACAATGGAGCAGATTCAGGCTCCAGTTGCTGCTATATGCCTTATGACATTGGCCTACATCAAGCGGTGAGCATCCGTGTTGCCTCCCATTTGACTTTGATGATCGTTGCCCTACATTAGCTTGTTATCGGGTGAACTCATTTGGCATTTGCAACGTCGTTAATGAGTCAGTAATTCAACCCCTACCCGTAAACAGTGCTTTTAATTAAAATAACTTTAATATGTTTCATACATATTCTCTCTCTCTCTCTCAGAAGATATATTTAGAGATGTTTTTGTTTTAGAAAATGACTGATTTGTACCCATTGGTTCTTGATTCATTTGTTCCTCGATTTGGCAACTTTGAAAATTCAAGTATGAGGTGCTTGTGATTTATTTTTCTTTCCTCAGAGTATAGATTTGGATGTAAATGTATGATACACTCCTAACATCACTGTTGCCTGGGAAGTAAATAAACACATTGAGAACCAGTTAAGATTATCTGTGATACATCTGAACCCCCTGTTGACAGGGAAGACAATTTGCTGAGGAAGGTTCATGACTTAATGCGAGCCACATTGAAATCTTCTAAATCAGCGGTCCCCAATCTTTTTTGCGCCACGGACCGGTTTATGTCCGACAATATTTTCACGGACTGACATTTAAGGTGTTGCGGATAAATACAACAAAATAAAACCAGCACTGGTACCAAAAAAAAAATTATTCATAACACATGGGAAAAGACCCAAGGAAACCAGGTTAACGATAAAAACGTTAAAAAAATAATGATAAAAACCATGAATATCACACCCGAGCCTCAACTCTTGCAGTCCGGTACCAAACAACTCACGGACCGGTACCAGTACCCCAACCATCCGTGGCCCGGGGTTGGGGACCGCTGTTCTAAATACTGAGAAGAGTATTTGCGTCCTTCATTACCTTTAGAAGAGGATACATTGGACCGTTCTTTATAAAAGGAAAAGCGATAATGCCGTTCCACAGCTCATAAAAGTGCACCATCTGTCATTGTTCAAAAAATCAGTGATTTTTTTTTTTAATACCCCACTATCACATGTAAAGCTTCACAGAGATTCACGGGCATAGAAACAGATTTGGTAAATGCACTGGTTCTTATATATAGCACTTTTCTACTCAAAGTGCTTCACAAAACTCGCTCATTCACCCAATCACTTTTTAGTGATTTTTAGACAGTTTTTAGTGCTGTCTAACTAACATTCATACACACAGTCACACTCCAATAAATGCATCGGAGAGCAACCTGGGGTTAGTACCTTCCCAAGGATATTTGGCATGCAGACTGGAGCAGCCTAGGATCGAACCACCAACCTTCTGGTTAGTAGGTGACTTGCTCTACCTCCTGAGCTACAGCCACCCCAGATTTAAAACCTATCAACTGACAGGTGGCACAGATCACATAAATATTAATTAGGAATGCTTTTTCCATTTCACTTCAGACATATTTTAAACTTTCAAACCCCTTAAAGCCACAGGTGAGCTGTGAAATTATCATATTATGACTCAATGTCTTAAATTTTTGCCTTACACAAAGAACATAAAATATATATTTAAAAAATGAATGTGGAATATTTAAATGATCATGAAAGTTCAATAAAATTCTATTTGCACTAGTTCTGTTTTTGCTCTATTGTTGCCTTTGCAATCATTGATTATTCCAACTTAAGTCACAGAAAGCTTTAATAACAACTGGATCATCTCTCTAGCAGGAAGAGAAAATAATGTGCAGACAGGATGAGCAAAAAATCTCAATGTGACAAACATTTCATTTCACTTTCAGGCTCTTTATTCATCTGTCTTTAAAAAAGAAGTTACTTTTCTAATTAGGTGATGTTTTTCACCTATGGTTCTCTGTTATGTCTTGTGTGGAACAGCACTGGTTATACACAGTAAACCTATGTCAACGATCTCTGCCTTCATTTCATTAAGACACCTAGTGTAACTGAAATCGCTGCACAGCACGCTTTTCCAACTCCTTATAAAATTTCCTTAACACCTTTCCCTGACCAAGTTTTGGAAAAATGATTTGGAAAAAGAGGTAGGAGGCAATTTTTAGCTTATCTGGCTGAAGGACTGATGAGCTTATGCAACTGCGAGGGAACATCATATAACCAACAAGAGCGCTCATGGTCTCTTGGAATTGTTTTTCAAGGTCAACCTTGTCCTTGGGCACTAACAATGTAGGTCAAGGCCAAATGCTTAGCCAACCCAGATACTCATGCCCCCCAAGGTGTAGTATATTGTTGTGAAGTTTGAAGAGGGTCCTTAAGAAATTATAAGTAATGTGGTAATTTATATTCATGTTCACATTTCAAGCTTTTCTGCCAGAGACCCTTTAAAATGTTGAAACACTGAGGAAAACAGCTCTCTGTGTTCAAGATCACAGAAAGTAAAAATGACGGCTGTAACGTTTGGGTCTGAGAAGCCACCAGGGTACCTGTGGTTCTGGTTCTTCAGATATGATAAGATAAACCTTTATTAGTTTTTGGTCACAGCAGAAAGTAAAAGTTCAGAGCAATAAAAATTAAGAAAAACACAATAGAATAGGATTAGATAAGATAGAATAACATACTATACAAAATAGAATAGAATGCTTTCAGGGACACACATCGTGTGTGTGTGTGTGTGTGTGTGTGTGTGTGTGTGTGTGTGTGTGTGTGTGTGTGTGTGTGTTTCTGTCTGCACGTGTGGGGTCATGTAGTTCATGGGAAGATGATCATCAGATTTGACCTCTGTGATCATATTACTGGTGAGTTTCCTGATGAGTTTCTGTCCTCAGTCACTCATTTTATAAGAAACACAAGTTCAATTTGTGCATTTTGAATAAGAATAAGGTGGCGGCGCACACGGTTGCAGCGGCTTACGGCTCTCCGTCTCAGTACTCCATTCTATTCTATTTTGGTTCTTTTAGGTATTCTTTCTTAACCAGTTGTGACTGACAAGTCTGACTTGCCCCTTGCTATTCACGTCCGGATTCAAAACACCAAGATGGAAACAGCAAAAATGCTCTTCTCAAGACTTCAAAGTGTGACTTCACCGTAGCTACGTCCATCTTTTTCATGGCTCCTGGTAAACCATTTTTGTGCTGATCTTAAGACCAGAGGAGGTTTGGAGCTATGCAGTTATTGAGTATTGTATGTGTATATCTGTTGTATTAGTTACTCTGGAGCTAAACACTTGCACTTTGCAATTATAGTGCTTACAGTTAGTCGTAGAATAGCTGGGAGGGAAGAGATTTCACAACCAGACCGGTACCGGTCTGTGAGTCGTTTGATACTGGGCAGCGAGAGTTGAGGCTCAGGTGTGAAATTTATGGTTTTCATGGTTTTATCATATTTTTAGCGTTATTTTTTTAATAGTTTTTATCGTTAACCTGGTTTCCCTGGGTCTTTTCCTGTGTGTTATGAATAAATCTTTTTCTTGGTATCGGTCCGGGTTTTATTTTGTTGTATTTATCTGCGAAACTCTAGAAAAGTATGTTAAAGATTATGTAGCAGCATGTTCCATCTGTGCATGCAGGAAGAATAACTCCCTTTGACCCTCAGGTTTGCACCAACCCCTAGCCACACCTCACAGGCCCTGGTCCCACATAGCTTTGGACGTTGATACTGGTCTCCTCACTTCCTCCAGTAAGACCATAATCCCTTCTATAATAGACAGGTCCCAACACCACCTACAGTGTGGGCCTACGTCAAACTGCTTTTGAGTCCATTCCCAAATACTGGCCTTCTGGCCTGTGACAGCATTGCATCACTGACTAATGATTAATAATAGACTAATGTCCATGGTGGGACTGAATTACAAATTAAAAAAATAAATAAATAACTGACACAATTCAATTAAACACGACTCAGCTATATCTGGGGACTTGCAGGTCCTCTACAATCAGCCAGGGGCTGCTGCAGCTCCTTCAGCACCCCTGTTCACCCAGGCTTTGATATTATACAGTAGTTATTGCTCTAGAATATAATGTGTGACTTTTTGTTATACACTGCAACTATGTGTGCAAGTAAAAGTCTGGTAATAAATAAATAAATAAGCCTAGCCTAGCATGAACACAATAACAGCATTTTACTGTTAATTATTGCTAATTTTAACTAAAAATGTCAAATAATACATTAAAAAAGAAAAATTGTGGAGTTAAAAAGTTACAAAGTGGAAATGTCAAGCTAATAATTAAGACAATTAAGAACTAAAAACTAATTAACACAGCCTCCCTTTGGGGGAGTTTCAGACTCTCATTCACCAAATGTAATTCTGGTAATATCTCTAACAATGGGTGCTTTTCCCACCACTAAGTACGTTTATTCCAGAAAGGAAATGCTATCTGACAGATATCTGAAGCTTTGATTTGATGAATGCTAAACAGAGCAATCGGATACTGGTGAAAGACTGCCTTTCAAAACCAGCGAATGATGACACAGGATCATTCCAACAGGTTTTTTAATAAAAGAGAAATACCGGTATTAGATTTCATGGCACAAATGCGAGGAAGATACTCTCTTGTAGAGATCTTCAACAGAAAATGTATGTAAATGCAAACCTGAGTAATAAATCAAATATGTTTTCAAGTTTAATATTTTTGCAATACATGCTGATATTCTTAAGGTTCTTCATGTATGCAAAATACTAAATGTTTTATATCACAGACAGTGCAGAAAAACTATGTTTCTTGGGATTCTCATGTTTTCAGAGGCAAAATTTAGCATTCTTTAACTCTTCCATACTGAATTGACTCATGTACGATTATGTGAAAAATACATTTTTCACAGGGTTCTGTGCAATTCTTAGAAAAGTACACTCCATGACTCAGAAGCTAGTAGAACCACCTTTAGCAGGAATAACTTAAAGTAAGTGTTTTCTGTATGACCTTATCAGTCTTTCACATCGTTGTGGAGGAATTGTGTCCCACCCTTCTTTACAAAATTGTTTCAGTTCATTGAGGTTTGCAGGTATTTGTTTATGCACGGCTCTCTTAAGGTCCCACCACAGCATTTCAGTTTGAAGTTTGCTTTGAGGTTTCTTTTCCTTTTTAAAGATATTATGTTGTAGTTTTGCTCATGTGCTTGGGATGATTGTCTTGTTGCAAACAATTTCAATACAACTTTTAACTATGTGGACTGATAGCCTCGAATTTTATTCTTGACTACTTTGGTATACAGAAGAGTTAATGCTCAACTCAGTGATTTCAAGGTGTCCCGTGGCTGCACAACAAGCCTGAAATCGTCACCCCTCCATTTTTGTGCTGACAGTTGGTACGAGATGTTTGTGCTGATATGCTGTGTTGGGTTTTTGCCAAATGTGTCATTGTGCATTATGGCCAAACATCTCCACTTTCGTCTCATATGTCCAGAGGACGTTTTTCCAGAAGACTTGTTTTGCTCGAAAATACCTTTGCAAGCTGTGCTGCCATGTTCCTTTTAGATGAACAGCCTTTTTCAGGCCATTATTGTAGCGAAACCGTATACTTGTGTATCTTAAACAACATGTGTGTATTTCGATTTGCGTATCCCAAACAGTGTGTGTAAATCTGTAAGCGTGCATAGATATTAATGGTTGAAAAGTCTGAGAGCTTTGTTCAAATCACTGAAAATACACACAGGTCACCAAGCTATGTTTTTTTTAAACAAGAATTTTGCTAAACTTCTGCATTTC